CTTAAGCAGAAAAAAAATTTTTTTTTTTTCAAGACCATAAAAAATTATTTTCGAAAACCTTAAATTATTATTAGACTTTTGTTTCAAAAATCACAATATAAAGGAGGAGACGGCATTAACCGACATAATCTCAAATCCGTATTTTGTTTTTGAAATTTTGTTTTTGAAATTTTTAACATAAATTTTCACATAAATCAAGCGTTCATTCGATCACCATGAAAGTTTGGAAAAGTTATTTAGAACAGTGTCGAGATGATGCCAGAAAAAATTTTGAAAAGCCTTTCGGTTTGATTTACACATAGTTATAGCATAGCTCGATACCACATTAAAAATCAACAAATACTGTAGTCATGCTGGATATTTTTGGCAGGGTCTCAGTATGCAGATTACTGAGATTTTATAACTGAAATTTAATAAATTTCAGTATGTTTAAAAAGAAATATATCACGAGATCATTTATTTAAATTTAAAGATTAAAATTTTATTATAATTAAGAGAGGTAGGGTATCAAGAGTTTTCTCTTACTAAATTCGGAATTTTATTAAAAATAAAGGAAACGGCAGAATAAATAAGAAATGAGTTTAAATTTTTTAAAAATTCTTATTCTTATTCAGTAGCAATCACGAATTGTCTTAATTCTTTATATTCTCTTGAAGTTCTAGCTTGACTATAACCAATGGTATAAATAAACTCAAACCGTTTTCGATACTAAATTCAAAAACAAAAAAATTTTTTTTTTAAAGATTAAAAAACCTATTAACCTTTCGTAAAGTTTATTATGCAAGATAAATACTTTCTAGTAACATACATTTGATCGATCCAATTACATATACCATTTTACAATATGCAAAAATAAAAAAAAAGAACAGGAACGAAAAAATAAACACAAAAATTCCCCGATGAGTGGTTATAGAGACGTAAAAAAAATAATTGTTGTTCTTTTATCCTTTCATAATATTCAAATTTAAATATGTATATTACGTGTGTAAAATTTTCTCCTGCTATACTATATGTACAATAATATCATCAAAGAACAGTTATTTTATAAACCCTTCCCATATTTTTTTATATTCCCGTTTAACTTTTCTTTTTATTATTTTTTTTTTTTTATATTCAATTTAAAAATACACACGACGACCGTATTATAAAATTTAACACAAAAATGCACATATAACACATACGTATATATACATATATGTGCATGTAATATGTACATATATATATATATATATTAACGTATCCTTTGTACTCCCATGAATAATTATTTTCTTGAGTTTGACACCTTTTGATGTTTTTTTTATTCCTTTTTGTGTAAGTCTTTTTTTCTTTTTTCATTACCGCCGTCCTTGAAAAAGAGAACATGACTGACACAAGCAAAAAAATATAAAATTTAATAATAAGGAATGCAGTCAAAGACACATACATATGTACATACATACATTTAAAGTATAATTTTGCATATAATATTTAAAACCAAAATAGCTAAAAGTTTCACTAATAAAATAAATTTCAAAAAAGACATTTATTTTATACAAAGACAAAGGGTGTTATAAGAATATTTTTTTTTTTGCATACAAATTAAATCAATTTAGAATTTTAATATGTGATTGTTGTTAACACTCTTAAAAAATCATAACATTCTCTTTCTAATATGAATGATGACGAAGTCACTTATAGTAATTGTTAGCCGCATTTTGTGACTAGAGGATATTTAACTCTTTCGTCTTACGGATAGGTTTTTGAAATATTCGAATGTTAAAGGCAAAATATCTATTCGAGAGCGTTTAAATGTTATACTTTTCAAAAGTATTATATAAAATATTTTGGCTATACTTATATTTTATATAAGTGAATGTCTAGTGCAGTCAGACTAGTTCAGCGATTCTCAAAGTAGTCTATATAGACCCCAAGGGGTCTTCTAGGGGTCAACGAGGATGAAAAAAAAATTGGGGGTCTATCAAATGAAAATGGGGGTCTGAAATTAAACCTCACTAAATCAATGCCAGACGTTGGTAAAATATTATCAAACCGTCAAATTCAATCTCCCCCCCCCTATCAAATTATTTTTATTTTTTATATGTCAAATTGACTGAAAAAGTAAGTAATATTTGAACTGGTTTTTTTGAAAGTGGTATAAGTCCATTTCTTTGTATATTCAGATATTTATGGGCTTGCGTTTGAATCAATTTAAAAATTCTGGCCACAATAACATAATTTGTTAGTTTTATGTCTACATAGAACTCTGTTGAAATTTTGATTGTAAATAGTGGAGAGAAGTTATCTATAACTCACTAAAATTACCATTAACTTAGCCTTTTTAAAAATTGGACTTATACCACTTTCAAAAAAACCAGTTCATTTATAAGAGTGAATTAATTTTTTATATAGTTTTTCTCATGTAAAAATTACTTTACTTTTATTTAAATTTAATAATTAAATTATTTAAATTTTATAACTAAATTAATTAAATTTTATAAATTTAATAAAAAAAAATTAAATAATATTTTTATTAAACTTTCTCTTATCATAGATGTACCTTGCTACTGTTAGAAATTTAAATCTATTAAAAGAAAGTACCAGGGAATCTATGAAAAATTGAAAAACATGACAAGGGGATTACGAGAGAAAAAGTTTGGGAACCTCTGAACTAGTCTCCTATGACAGACATAATTGCTGTTTATTTCTAACTCACTCTTTTGATTTTGAGAAATCAACTTCTGTTTCTGATGATATTCATTATCCATACAAAAATATAAAACTATCTATCGTGTATTAAATGTGCATAAACATTTTTTTTAACTCTTATATATATACATAATTTTAAGTTTAGTCAGAAATGTTATATGCATAGATTGTCATACATTTTTTGGATCTTTAATATTACATATCGTATTATATATGTATACAAGAAACGTAAGGAATATAATTTTTCACCGATTTATTAAAAACGTGAGCTGATTTATGTGAAAGTGAAGATATATGGAGATCTATCATAACAAGCCTATCAAGCTCACATGTACCTAATGATAGTCGCGACAACCTAACCTAAACTATATAAAATATAGTTTGTTAAAATATTTTATATAGGACAGTTGCACTTTCATATTTAATAATCATGCAATAATCAATAATCTTTAACGTATTCTCTTCTAGAATTTCTTGGGATGATGAATTAAAACAAGATATTCTGGTATACTTATAGATAATAACTATATAATATGTGAATTATACACATAAAATTATTAAGCACCCTGTATTCTCATTTAGACACATACTTTGTAAAATAAACTCTATATATGCATTAATTATTTAAATCCTTGGCGGAGGCATCAAACGAAATTTTATTTTTCATATATAGATATGTACACATGTACATGAAAAAATAAATTTTCAACAAAAGTGGAGTATGTTGGTTGTTTCATGTTCTCTATATGGTCTCCTCACTATTTTTGCACAAATAATTTTTTTTTTTTTGTTTTTAACTTACTTTAAGAGCAAAGTATCTATTATAGATATACGCGTGTATACATATTTTAATGTTGGTATATGTACGTATATTTGACAAAAGGACACCGAATTCTATATAAAATATAGAATATAGTATATAGAGTATAGTTGTAAGGTACAATGTACAGCATATGATTTATGCCTCTATATTACCCAACATGTGTGCATATAAATGAGTACAAAAAAGTTTGTGTTGATGATACTTTGTTGTCTCTGAATCTCAATGGAGCTCTTTTTGCACATTTTTTTTTTGTATTTTTATTGTGTTAATTGCTTTTCATCCAAAAAAAAAAGTTATTTTAAGGTGTCATAATTTTCATAAATTTCACACGTCTGAAGAGAATTAAGTTGAATTATTTTTTTTCCTCTCTCCCTCTCTCTCTTTTAATTCAGCTTTTCATCTTTTACTTTTCTTCTTTTATTTTTATTTAAAAAGGAAAAATTTGTGGAATTTAAATTGGGATAGGAAAAAATATTCATTATAAATTATGTACATACATACATACTATATATGTAAAGGAAGATAAGAAAATTTTAAAATTGTATAGAACAAGGACAAGAAAATTACGTGCCTATAAAATAGATTTCTTATTTTGTTCTCGTATCGTAAGTATAGAAAGATTTTATGGACATGGAACGTCTATTATTGTACTTAATTTATTTTTTTACTTTAAGTACATTTGTAATGAAATATTTAAAACTATTAAAAATAAGTTTGACGAAAATAATTTAGTAAGTTTTAATTAAAAATAAAACTGAAAAGATTTTTTCAACTTGAATATAATTACATACATATACATACATGTATATACTCGTATGTATATAAAAAAAAATTCAGCAGACTAAAATTTATAATACTGCATATTTTTTACAGAAATGACAATAATAAATTTAAAAATATTTTGAATACGGTAATTTCCTGCTTAATGTAATTTTTGAGACCGAATATTTACGACTCTGAGTGAAGTGATTTTAATTTCTCAGAGACCTTCAATTCTATGAGTTCATTTATAAAAAAAAAAATTATTGTTAGCGAAATTTGAAGACTTAGAGTGAGGAAATTGTGTTAAAAAATTTATATCGAATTTTTTCTATAGCTGCATGTATAGTTTTATGTAGTTCCATAGCTTTCTATAATATTAATTGTAGTCATATTCATGCAATTCATTAATTTAAGCATTCGATCAGAATTGAAGCTAGACTAGCTTCTACTGAAACGATTTGCATTTTCATTAAATATTTTGTTTACCAATTAGATTTTTATTTTAATATAATATTGAGAAACTGTTGAATTCCAAGTGATAAGACTTAGTTCTTACAATTTTAATAAATTCATTCCTAATATTTGTATAATGACTAACAAAAACCTACTCAATTTTAGTATGCTTTTATTTTCAATTCACAATTTTTATTATTTTTTATAAAATTAAAAAGTTATTCATTTTAAATTAATAATTATTTTTTTATGCCTTAATTTTGTTTAATAATTTTAGGGCTTAAATCAGCAAGTGTACAACTTTTATCAACACATAAAGATGAAATAATATTAAAATGTCATGTTGATGGTTCCGGTGAATTAGAATATGAATGGTTTCGTAATAGTGAAAAATTACAAGATGTACATAATATACATTTTGATCGTAATCGTATTATAATACGTAGTCCAACATTATATGATAATGGACAATATCGTTGTGTTGCAACAAATAGTGCTGGACGTGTTATGAGTAAAAAAGGATATTTATTAAAATGGCCATTATTATCATCACAACCATGTAGTAATTCAAATGGTTCCGGTACCAATAAAAATAAATCAAATAAATCAGATCAAAAACAAAAATTTTATTTATGCCGTGGTAAACGTGATAAATCACAAAAATTAAATGAAATAACAATAACACAACAACCAAAAAAGACTGTTGCCAAAGAGACTGAACATGTTGAATTACATTGTAAATATAATTTACCAACAAAATATAAAAATAATCAAATTGTTTTAAAATGGCGTAAAGATGGTAAAATATTTCGGCAAGTTGATTTAAGTGCTGCATCAGCAACAACAAGTGAACCAAATATGGAATTAATACATCGTGAAGATAATCGTGTATTAGTAAATCGTCAAAATGGTTCATTAATTTTTAATACAGTAATACCAACTGATGATGGTATTTATAATTGTCAAATATTTGTTGAAGGTCATGAACCAATAACATCAGAAAAAGCTGAATTAAGTATTATAGAAGTTTTAAAATTTACACCACAACCGAGTACATCAAAAAATTTAGAATTAGGTACTGTTGGAAAAATACATTGTAAGGCACAGGGTACACCAACACCACAAATACGATGGATTCAAGTAAGTTGTTTTAATAATGCTTTAGATCGATCTGTCGACTATTGTAGATAATACCGATTTGTTACAGAAATTAAAGTACAGAATGTATTTTAGAAAAATCCATTGATATTATCGTTTCTCTCTAACACCAATTTTAAAAAATCTTATAAAGAAATTGGAAGATCTAGTAAATAACAAATATTCAATCTACATTCTTACCATTTCTCGTTTGTATAATAATCCAGAATACAAAAATCTTGTAATTTTTTTTAAAAATAACAAAATATTTGAAATTACAAGTTATTGGAAATTTCTTATATATTGTAAATGCTCCTAATTCTTTACTAAAATACAATATGATCTATTTCTGACAAACATAAAAGATCTTTTATTGAAGGCAATAATTAAAGTAGCGTATAAATGTATAAAGGAGCAAGCCCGAAGGCTTTGAATAATTTCATTATCATCAATGAGTCAAAAATCGTCAACAATTCCACATTCAATAAAAACACATCTAATTTTTAATTTGAATTTTAGGAAATTTGAATTTATTTATTTAAAATTTACTTAAAATTAAATTTAATTTATACAAAATACTCTACAAATTTTATATATATATATATAATAATTCAAAATATATACTTACATAAATTATCATATTATTTGAGTCATAATTGCCGATGTTTTAATATTTACATATTGTGTACATAAACAAATACATAAATGTAGAATTTCCATTATGCAAAAATTTTCACTTGTCTTCCTTTTGTATTTAATTTTCATTTCTCTTTTTTTCAATTTTAGGATAATACAGAACAATTACCGGAAACGATCGATGATATTAATGGTACATTAATTTTTAAAAATGTATCATCCGAAAATAAAGGAAATTATACATGTATTGCAACAAATTCTCAAGGTCAAATAAATGCTACAGTTAATGTACAAATTGTTGTTGCACCAAAATTTGCTGTTGCACCAGAAGGACCAATTCAAGCTGTTGAAATGGGTGTAGCAAATTTCCATTGTCAAGCAATTGGTGATCCAAAACCGACAATACAATGGGATAAAGACTTACAATATTTAAGTGAAAATAATACAGATCAGAATCGTTTTAAATTTTTAGAAAATGGTACATTACAAATAACTGAAGTTCATTTAGATGATGAGGGACGCTATGGTTGTACAATTGGTAGTAGTGCTGGCCTAAAAAGAGAAGAAGTTCGTTTTATTGTTAAACGTAAGTTTATAAGATTTCTTAATTAAAAAAAAAAATTTTAATACAAAATTTTATTTTACAAAAAAAATATTGTTTTTTTTTCTAAAAATATAGCATCTGAAGGTTTTACATCCGAAGAATCTGGTGATGGTATACGTATAACACGTGCTGTTTTAATAACAATGTCTATTGCATTTGCTTATATTGTACTTGTTGTCGGTCTTATGTTATGGTGTCGATATCGGCGTCAAGCAAGAAAAGCTCGCCTTAATGCTGCTAATAAAGATAATGTTGAAATTGGTGTTACAGATGGACCAAATGGTAAAAATGGTGAAATTGAACCATGTTTAGGTGCTGAAAAAAGTGCTGATAGTAGTGGAAAAGCAAATGGTACAGGTGGTAAATCGAAAAAAGTTAATGGTAATAATAATCCAAAAGGTAGTGGTAATGAAGCACAAAAAAGTGATGATACAATTTCAAGTAAGGGCTCAAAAAAATCAAATATATTCGATCAATTAAGTGTACCACGGACCAGTTTAAGTGATTTAGTACAAATTGGTAAAGGTGATTTCGGTGATGTATTTGTTGGTAAAATTGTATCATCAGTTGTAAAAATAATTGAATTAAATGAAAAAGAAAAACAAAAATTCGAAGAAAAATTGACACCAGAAAATGAAAAACGTCGTTCAAAAGGTTCAATGGATAATATTGAAGAAATAACAGAGGAAGAAGGTTCAGAAATTGAAAATGAATATAAATTGGTATTGGTAAAAGCATTGAATAAAGTTAAAGAGGAAAATTCATGTCAAGAATTTAAAAGACAAATTGAAATGTTCCGTGCTATATCACATAAGGGTGTTGCCAAATTATATGGTTTATGCCGTGACAAAGATCCACATTATTTAATTTTAGAATATACTGATTGGGTGAGTTTTTATTCTCAGTTTTTAACATGCATTTAATGAATTTTAGCATTTGAATATTTTCATTTTAAAAAACCATTAATTGCTTTTCAATTTTAAATTCATCGAAACGAAACTAAAATAAATTGTTTCTCTTTTTCATCCAATATATACATAGGGCGATTTAAAACAATTTCTTTTGGCAACAGCCGGTAAAGCAAGTACAACAAGTGCAACTATACCAGCATTACAAAAAGGACAAATTTTAGCGATTGCATATCAATTAGCAAGAGGAATGGATGCCATATATAGAGCTCGTTTTATACATAAGTGAGTAAATTTTAAAAAAAGAAAAAAATATACAAAATTATATTTTTTTTTTTTGTTTCTTAAACATTTCTTTGTATTTTCTTTGGTACAAATGGAATAAGTTAACGAAGAGGAATTTATAAAATTACGGATACAAAAAATAGAAAGTTTTCTCTAATAGTTCTTACAATATGTTCTGAAATTCAAAAACACAAAAATTTTTAACATTCCTTCGTTTGTTGGAAATGGGCTACCTTTGGAAGCTATTTTGCAATTCTATAGCATATATTCAAAAAGTTTTGTCGAAAGATATTAAAACTTTGGATATTTTGAGGCGGTTTATTTATAACAATTTTAATAATTTATGGCTATCGCAGATTTCATTAATTTTATTCATCGTAGGGCATTGCTCTCATACTAGCAACAATGGGACATTTTTTATATTAAATTCGGTAACTGACTTTTCTGACATTTTAAGTAAGCAAATTTTAATATAACTAACATATCCAAAAGAACACCACAATATTAGACATTGTATCTCTTCAATTACTCTAAATCAAAAATTTCTCGCAAATATTCATTATTATTAATCACGATCATCACAATTTATAAGTTGGTTAATGGCACTGTTATATTCAATACGAGTATTGACACAGTTTTTAAACTTTTTTTACACAACATGCTCAATGTAATTTAAAAATGTATAACGCCTCTATACTAGTTGCCTCTATACTACTTTTGGAAAAAATGGGTTAAACATGCATAAGAACCAATTATTCCTGTTAAATGTTAACTATGTTTTTCGAAACTGCATGTACGTAAAATTATATTTTATTAAAAATATTTTCAATTCCAACAACATTTCACTTTTTTTGCTTGCAGAAACCTTAAGTGTTTATAACAAAATTCTATTTGAAAACAAAATCTTTATAATAAAACTTTCATATCACAGATATTTCCGGTTTTGGAATCATTTCCGTTTTATAAAATCCCTAAAATAATAGATTCTTATGTCTTAGTTTTTGTTTTATATATTTTTTTTTTGTTTTAAATTCAAATAATATACTTATGCATTTACTACAAAAAAAAAATTTTTTTTCTTTCTATTTTCTTTATTTATACTTTTATCTTCTGTCATCTGTTTTGATATTGAAACAATATAGGGATTTAGCTGCACGAAATTGCATTATATCAAGTGATTTTGTTGTTAAAGTCTCTTATCCAGGATTATGTAAAGATAAATACAGTCGAGAATATTTTAAACATCGAAATTCATTACTTCCAATAAGATGGTTGGCACCAGAATGTATTCAAGAGGATGATTATACAACAAAAAGTGATATATATGCATTTGGTGTATTAACTTGGGAATTATTTAATCAAGCCACCAAAATACCATTTGAAGAATTAAGTAATGAAGAATTTTTATTACAAAGCGCTGGTAATTTATTAAAATGGAGTTGTGCTGAAAATACACCAGATGAATTAAAAGAAATTTTGGTAAGTTAATTTTTTTGATTTCATTCTAGATTCCTTCCTAATTTCAAATATAATTTTCAATTTCAATTAAATTTGCAATAATATGATATTTTATAATAAATATTGTTTGAATTTTTTAATTAAATATAAATAGGGAAAATTCAAATTCTCAGACAGAATTTACATATGAATTTAAAATGGAATTTGTTCAATTAGAATTTGATAACATTTTATTTTTTAATTAAACAAAATTTACATGCGTTTTTACAACAAACATTATAAATCAAATTTTTATAAAATCAACCAAAATTTATAAACATTCCTTCATACAGTAAATTCCGACTAATATTTAATTTTTAATCAAACCAACAATTAAAGTTCAAGCAAAACCTCACTTAATACTTAAAATTTTCTTTTATATTTACAGACAACATGTTGGAATCAAAATCCGAAAGAAAGACCATCATTTAGTCAGTTATGTTCAGCATTCAGTAAAGCTATGCAAACCGGTGATAATTAATTTTAATAATATTTAAATATTTTATAAATATACAAATTTCTTTAAATATATACATACGTATGTACGTATGTTAATCAAATTATAATATAAATAAATTACATTTATTGTGTATTTTTTTTTTAATTATTATAAGTATTAATTTTATATTATTTTTAAAATTAAAAATATAATTAAATGAGAGGAGGAGAAGAAAAAAAAAAGAAATTTAATTAGAAAGTTTTTTTTTTTTTAATTATAAAGCTAAAGTTATTTTCAAAGAAAGATTTTTAAGTCAAAATATCAAATTATAAAATGTATATTTATATATATACATAGCTCTATATATATATATTTAAATAAACAATTAAAAATTATTTAAGTAATTAATTATCGTTATTGATATTATATTATATATATAAAATTTTATTATATTATAAATTTATTATATGAGTATTAATAATGCAATTAATTGATTGCATAAATTTCAAAAAAAAAAATTTTTAATCAAAAAAAAATTATTAAATTAAAATATTGATGACAACAAAAATTGATTAACCTATAATTTTTTAAAATGAATCTATAATTTAATCGCTCAGTTGATCAAATTTGACAAATTCATGCTCGAAATTTGAAAGTATTGAATTCTCTAAAGGTCACAAATTTTTCACTAAATACTCTCGAATACGCAAATATTGACTTGCTAACAAAATATAGGAAAACATCCCAAAAGTATACTGAATATTTTCGAAAACACATCACAAATGATGTGTTAGGATATTTTCCAATAATATTATGATTTTTAATATATATAGCGTATCAAATCATGTGATGTGTCTAGAAATGCTAATAATATATAATCAATAGAAAAAAAAAGTAATTTATTATTAATTTAAAGGTTTTAATATTAATCACTCAACTTTTCATATATAATTAGTAGTATTAGAAATACTCTAATAAAGAGGATACCCCTTCGTTCAAATATTAATTTACCCTTCTTTTCCAATCGATAACTTTTACTCAACATTAACATTGATTAAATTTGTAAAATGTAGTCAAATTTCTCTAAATTTTTATCATAATATTGTTAAACAATTTCGAAGAAACAATTGGCATGTTAATGCAGTTTTATTAAATAACTTGTTAATGTTTGATTAAAATACATTTTAAAATTTATTCTGATTACAACACTCGAATTTTGCATTTAAACTGCATTAACATGAACCATACATTCACATGGATACCACAAAGTTGACAAGATTAACTCTATTTTTTTCTCATTTCTTTAAAAGAATTTTTTAACAATAATTTTTGAATCTTCCTCTTGAACAAAATCATCGGGTATAGTCTTCGTAATCAATCGTATTCATCTTTATATTCATTATTTGTATTCGTATTCCGTGATAAATTCAAAACGACAACATTGAATAATATACCGAGAACACGAGGAGCACTCTCAATTTTTCTACCTATACACAGTTATTCTTTTGTCTTATAATGTATTTATGTATTTTTTTAATAACCCTGTATTTCGAAGTTCTTTCCAATAATAATCATTATTGGAATAATACGAGATAATTTTATCATCGTATTATAAAATCATTAATGTATAGAAACTTTTAAATTTATTTATTTTTTTTTATAAGGAATATTCAATTTTAAACTTAAATTCAAAATTTTAACTTTTAATCTATAAGTAGAAAAAAAATCAACATTTTTTTTTTTTAAATATGTAAAAAATATATAGACAAAGTCCATTAAAAAATTTATTCAAAATAAACTTTTCCTATATATCTAGGAAATAAAATTCACGTATTTAAAAAATAAATTTTAAAAAAAATTTTTTTAATAAATTTTAATACATATTTATGTATATACAATATATTAATGTAAGAATTTATATTCTTAATAATTAATTTAATTTAATATGAAAAAATAAAAAGTTGCAATAAAAAATTAAAAATATTTATTATTATAAGTTATGATTGTAGTATAAAAACAAAAACAAAATTAATTTGAAAAAAAAAATCAAATTAAAAATATTAAAATAGAGAATCGAAAAGAAAAAAAATCAATGAAAAAACATAAAACGAATAAAAGATCATTCACTGCCAACTCTAACAATGAAAAAATTTAAATTTTTTTAAATTTAAAATATTGATTTTTTTAGTAGTAAATTATTAATTTTTCATTTATAATCAAAAAATATTTTTCATACATATTTTAATTGCCAATTCAATTTCAACAATTTTAAATCGATCCAAGCAATTTTATTCATTTCAAAAGTAAAGTATAACTAAAATCTAATGCCTAAAATCACAAAAGTCCAACATATTATATTTATATTTATCTTTCATAATTTTGAGTCTTCTCATAAATGCACTATATCGTAATATATATAGCAAAAACATAAACATGGCTAATTTTTCGAAATACAGTCAAATTAGTATGAAGGAGCACAATTAAATTATATATGAATTGTGTTTAATTTTACAAAATAGTTAAATATAATATTGCATAATTTATCAGGTTATGATTTTTCGCATTTCATGTTTTGAAGTAGATACTGCGTTTATGAAAATCTTTTTTAATAGTTACAAATATTATTTATTATTAAAACTACTAAAATTCATTTAAGCAAATTTTGAATATATGAATTGGTTGTATACAATTCCTAAATCCTACATACATACTTGTATACTTCATTAAATTGCCTGCTTTAGTACTTTTGCTTTTTAAGTCAAATACGCCACCTCTCATTTTCGAAATGAAGAAAATCTCAAAATAAGTTTTCATTAATAAAGAAATTGTTTTTAAGCCAGAACTTAATTATTTCTCTTATAAAACTACAAATATTTTAATTTTATTAATTTATTACAATTAAATCAATATTTTATCACAAAAAAAAAGTATTAACTTCTTTTTTTTTTTTAGAGACTTAACCTAAAAAATTAAATGTTTATGTAAAACATTAAATTTATAATAAAAAAATAATTGTATAAAGTCAAAATATTTTTAAATATTAATATAATAATAAAAAAATTAATTATAAAATTAAAAAAAAAAAAATTATATTTGTTTTTTTGTTTTTTAAATAAAATATTGATCAATAAGTTTTAAATTTTTCAAAAATAAATTATAAAAAATTATCTCTATTCAAATTTAAATAATATTTTATAAAAAAATCGTATAATGCAATTATAGTGCATAAAAAGTGTATGTGCGGTAGCAAGTGTATTAATACAATCCACTATATCTATAACATATATATATAATCAGTAAAAATATTCTATAAATAACTTACTAAATTGTTAATAAATATATAGAATTAGAGAAAAATATTATTTTAAAATTAAAAATTTGAAAATATACCAAAAAAATTGAAAAAAAATTTTTATAAAATAAATTGAGTTTTAAAAATTCTAAACTGATTATTTATTGGAATGATGTACACTTGTTACATTTTATATATAAAATATAAATGTAAAATTATATAATTGTAATATAATAAAATCATTATACACATAAATAAATTGTAATAAAAAATTTTTTAATTAAAAATGTATTTATTATTATTATTATTATTAATAAAAAAAATAAAATAAAATAGTATAGATATACTATAAAATTTTATATTGAAAAAATAAAAAGAATAAATTTTCTTTTTTATAAATTGAATGTGAATCGATAAAAGTAAATATATGTCATAATTTAAATTAATTGATGAAAAACAAAACAAATTAAAAATAATAATATTAATTAAAAAATTTAATATAAAATTTACAGTATTATTATATAACTATAAGAGTTAATGTTATAAACAACAGCGTATTTTATATTGTAATTTTTATTCATTATAACATTTTTGAAAAAAATAATCTTTTTGAATTCCATAATTTTGTGTATTTGTTTTTTCTAACACAAATAAAATCGGCTAAAAAAAAATCGGAAAGAAAATTTTCATAAATTGCACTGTAATGCATTATTTAATAAGATTGTTATCAATAATCTATATGAATAAGATGACGTATGAATCTTTGCATTGAATTCCCAAATTCAATAATTGTTCTATGCCATCTTTTGGAAAAAAAATTTTATATCTAATTACAAAATCTCCCAAAGAAATTTTTTAATGGAAAATGATATATTGATTCCAACAATTTTCTAGATTTTCTAGCAATTATTTAATATATCAACAAATTACATTTTAAACTAAAAACAAATCATTCTATTATTAGTAATTTTCACAGCTTCTTGTTTTCGAATTCTTCGGAAATAAAATTCTTACTCGTATATACAAAAACAATAATCCATAGTCCTGTTAGACGTATCACTTCAGTTGACTGAATATTATTCATAAATTTTGTAGCTTTCTGAATAAAATCAAATATACTTTTGAAAAATATTCAATTAGCTGAGATATCTAACATAATTATATGAAAAATGTCTGCATTTATTTAAACTTTCAATTTTTAATTTCATAATTTCGAACTAAAGACCATCTTAACATAAATATTTTAAAAAATTTTTTTGAAAATTTTCAAAATATTGAATAAAACAAAATATTAGTTTACGCTGAACTTGTACCATAAACAGACATACAGTCTGTTTATATAAATTTAAATAATATTAAATAGTTTTTTTTTTTATTATTAATATTTTTATTATTTAATATCGCATATACATATGTAAGTCGAATTAGCTTGTATTACTGATAAAATTATTAAATATAAAAAGAAAAGATTAAAAAAAAAAAATAAAAATATAAAATTAAAATATATCTATTACATTAATAAATTAAAATGGCGCTAGGCATTAAAACACAAAAAAAAAATTAATTAAAAAAATTTTATATTAAATAAAAGAAAAAACAAAATAAATTTTTGTATAAATGAAGAAAAAATTAAAAAATTTTATAAAAATATTAATCAGAAAGAAAAATTATTATTAATAATAATAAAGATCTCGGTAAAAAAAAAAATATAATTATTAAATGAAAAAAAAATAGTTTTATTAAAAATTTTGCAATCTTTTGCAGTATTTCTATTTAAAAATCCATATAAAATTATATTATAGGAATGTTATAGATTTCAGCATATAATAACTTCACTTAAAATTTGTTTCAATTATACAAAAAGAAAAATTGGCCCAAGCGATAGTAACTAGTGAGTAGAAAAAATTTTACTAGACACTTTTTCCCATAATATGCGATTATTACATTACAAATAGACTCCCCTTATTTTTTTTCTTGTAATTCTAACTAATTTTAACTTCCAGTTTAGTACCATAAAACATTGTCATTTAGTTAATCTACCAGAGCAAACTGATACATACACAATATTGTCTTTAAACACCCAATTCAAAATATGCATACTCGTACTTGTAATTCTCCAATACCTCTAAAAAACAAATTACATTTCATTAAATAATTTTTTTACTAAATATATTTAGAACACTGGACGTGCATGTACCTTAGTAATATTATATTGAATAACGCAATTCAAGTTCCTATTAAGCCAAAAATGTCGTATCTCGAAGACTTAGGTAATTATTTTTAGAAAACGGATTTGCAGGGACATAGATAAGGAATTTATAATGCATTAGTTATAATTGCATTAATTATAACAAAATAACGAATGAAAAAAAGTCTATACAGAATTTAGATCCAAAATTTTTGAATCTGGAGAGGGGATAACAAAATACAAAGAATACAAAAACAAAAATCATTTTAAAGACTAAAAAAAAACTATTAACAATATATTAAATTTTCTTTTTTTATTTCAAAAAATTTTTATACGATAATTAATTAGCATGCATTCCTAACAATGGAAGAATATTATAAAAGAGTTCAAATCAAAGTAAAAATTCAAAATTTCATTCTAAATACAAAATAAAAAAATAATTTTTCATAATTATAACTAAGACTGCCAGGGAACAAAATTACATAAACCCAAGCAAAATTAACGTAATTCGTTTTAAAATTAACTTATTTTTCATCAGGTTGATAAAAATTAATGAACTTATTGGTATCAAAAAAAGTTCTATAAACCAATTGATTGCATTTTTAATGCCAAATAATTTATTGAAACTTTCTTGGAATACCCATTAATAAAATTAGTTCACATGTTCACTTTAATTTCAGCAATTTATTGCATTCAGCAATTATTTACATTTATTATTTTCATTATAATTTTTTTATAATGGAATATTTAAAGGTATTTTTAGTTTGAAATGAGAAAAAGTGGAAAATATACTTTGCTGAATATTTAAGACTATTAAATATTAATAAAAATTGAGAATAAACTTCTCAAAATAAAATGTTGGGCAGCCTTTGTTATAATATTGAAAAAAAAAAAATTTTAATACCAAAACTACACTTACCAATTTATTTGAATATTTTGGCACATAGTCACCAAAGGTCTGAAAATATGATGATTTTTTACATATTTTTTTTTGTAATAAATATAAATCTATGTGTATGTATACAAATAAACAAATTTACTTAATTAATTTTATCTTACAGTTTTAAATTATAGGATAAAAATTTTAATTGAAAGAGTTCAGTATAAAAGGATACAAGGACATTATATTACGAATACCGTATGTAAAGACAAAATAATTTCTTTAGTTTTAGCAACTATAAAATATTATTAAGTATATACATAAATGAATTCTTCTATTTTATTTGCTTAATTACAAAAAGTAAAAAGAATATAGTTATACCCTAGAACATTATCGATAGCAAATTATTAAATTTTTCAGTTAGTGAAAATCTTATAGCTTAATAATATAATTTGGTTGCTATTGCCAAACATATGTATCTATGTAAATAATAAAGTGTAACATTTATTATTGCAAATACAAATGAGGACGTGGTATTTATTATGATTTAATTATTCTGAATTGTATGTAATTTAGAATTCCTAACATATCCTTACTACACATTATTAAGACATCTCATTCTTCTTTGAATAAACTAAAACCGTTTTCTTAAGACTACCTTTTAAAATTAAAACACATATATATATATATTCCTGTAGCAAATATAATTTTATCATTTTAAGAAAAATTAACGAAAATAAGAAAATGAAATATGGAATTTAAAAATTAGATTTTCTGGTTTAAGAAGACTAAAAAAAAAGTAGCAAAAAAGGACCTACACAATCACTCCAATAGTATGACTTCAAAAACATTCCGAATTTTAATATTATGTCCGAAAAAAATTGAAAAGAATTTATTCCAACTATTGAATATAAAAACATAATTTTGAAATACATATATACAAATATGTATAACGAAACTATATAATGAAAAATTTTAAATCCTAACCTAAAAAGGAACTTAATATCTAACTACTTTATTCATAAAAATATTTATATTGTATTTCATTTTGTTATTAACAGAATAGGATTATTTTTTTTAATTATTTTTTAAATTGAAAAAAAATTTGTTTAATAAACCACTTAAACAAACTAGATCAAATAGATTTAAAATATAATAATAATATAAAAGGAATTACATTTGTTAAGGCTAGAACTGAATTAAATCAAGCAAAACACCTTTATCTAAGAAGGAATTATTTATTAAATTTCGATATAGGAATAAAAACCTGTAGAATATTATTACAAAAGAAAAATAATTTTTTTTTTCGTGTTAGCAAAAAAAAAATATTTTTTTCATCTCTTTTGTACTTACATTTTGAAATTTGATTTGAATACTTCTCACATCAGTCCAAAATTTATAGTGATTACATTTATCAAGTCATTTATCTTGAAATTTCTCTAGAAAAAAAAAGAAATAATAATTTCAAATGCAAAGAGTTTTTTTTTTTGAGTTTTTGTTTTTATTTGTTTAACTATTTTCTAATTTCTGTTGTTGATTTTTTTATTAATTAAAATGTAAAACATGTATTTGTTACTTTTTTTTTTGTCCTTTAAAATATTATTTTATAGCGATTATTTCACGAAAATTCAAATAACTTATTGACAATTTCCAATGAATTACAGTAAATTTATAGTTTTATAAAACTGGTATTTTGCATAGAATATTTATTTTTTGTTACTACGTTATGATACTATTTTAATCATATTACTTTTTCTTTACTTTTTAATTTTGCCAAAAAAAAAAATATGAAAACTAAATACAGGGAAAGGTAATGTCGACTTCATTTTAAAGGTCTTTTTTTATTTTGAATTTTATTGAATTCTAAAATTACTTATTTACCAAGACCAACTTTCTTAGCTTCAACTTCATAAATAAGTAGGCGCCACATCTTAACAACAAATACTTCGGCTTCTTCATCAAGAACCTGTATAATAATTTAATTTATATAAAAGTTATGTTAATAGGTTTTTTAATTCGTTTAATACCATTTGAACATCATCCAATATGCTTTGAGGAGTACTACCAGCCAATACTTTTGAACATATAAAATCCACTAATGTCGGTTCAGGTTCGCCTATATAATCAATAATTTTTTTATTGATCCATGGACGAATTTTTTTCTCCATCAAAGTATTATCAATTTCAACAAAATCCAATTTATAATTAAATAGATCAACTTTTTCAGTCGGAATTTTATCTATAATACTTTTTATATGACGTCGCTTCTCTTCTGCCGTTCTAATAACTGGTACATCAGAAGTATTAGAACTAATTGATTCAGTTTTTTCACGCCTAGATGAACTTTTTGATTTTGATGATTGATTAACTGAATGTTGTACCGATGTATTAGAATTCGGTGCTGATAACGTGTCTGATTGTAAATTCAGCTTTACATTTGGATTATTTTCATCGTAGTCTAACATAAAATATTCGAACATAAGAAAAAAAAAATGAAAATCAAAAATTTTTCAAAATAGCATTAAAAATAATACCTAAAGGAACGAGTTTACGTTTTTTAGGGCCACTAATTTCATCATTTTCATCATCCATATTGAAAACGCCTTTAACTTCCAGTTTTTTCTTTTTAGCATTAGCATTTAAATTTAAACTAATTATTGGAGCTTGTAATGGAGTTGTATTTACATTACTATTTGTAGGACTTAGAATATGATTATTTGATGAATGCAATGATGACCGTGATTCTTCATCATTTTGAAAGTTGTGTGTATTTGTAACACTAGCAACATGAGAATCTCTCGATTCAGATGGCTCACGACCTATACTACCAACACGGTATTTACCATTTCCTAAATTTCTTGATGCCAATTCAGAGTCAGAATCAATTATATCAGAACTAATTAAATCCATACGACTTTCATAACGTTCTTTTTGCAGTCTTTCTTTTTCTTTTATTCTCTGTCGCTCCATTTCTCGTTCACGTTCTCGCTCCAATTCGCGCTCACGTTGTTGAGTTGCTTCTAAATTAACATCTATAATTATTTTAGGTTTATACATGTTCTCACGCTCTTTTTTCACTCGTTCAAATTCTTGTGTAGGATTGTCGTATTCTCCACTAAATATTTTGTTCCTAAGCTCTTCTAGTTCTTCTTGCTCTCGATTACGATCCTTTGCATCAAGATCCGCTTCCCTAACCCGCTCGGCCAATCGACGTTGCAGTTCTCGACCCCTAAAGTAAATAATTCACAATATAGGTTTCCCCTTAACAATATAAATATCTTACTTATAATATTTTGGATCATCCCTTTCATCATCATAGTCTTCCAAAAATTCTTTTAAGCGTTTCGCTTCTTTTTCTCGTTCCTCTTCCTTCAGTAGTTCCTTTTCCCTTTCCTGCAACGATATTGTAAACAGAAACATATTTTAAATAAATCTTTTCATATACACTTACAAACGTGTTACCAATTACCATGGAAAAGCTTTTACCACTGTTAAAAAATTCTAAATTCTAAAGGAAATAAAATATCTAAAGAACCCTAAATTAATATTTAAATAACGTTAAAATAAAATAATACTTTGTTTTCTTTTGGATTTCATTTAATTTTTTCTTTTCACTTACATGACCGGCCCGCCTCAAAACGACTCTGTAAATTTCGTAGCAGTGACAGTAGCAAACTTTGTTCTTGTGTCCAACAAAGCTCGATAAACAATTTGTAGCAATAGCAGAGTATACTGAATTATCAAATTCTTTATCAGTATTTTGTAATGGAAAATACAATCCACTGTATATAGAGAATGGGAATTAAGAATAATTTGATTTTTTTTGTAAAATTTTCTTGTAAGAATTATAGATGTTCTTAAATTTTTTTAAATAGTCAATTTTCATACCCAAAATAGTTGTAATTTTTAGTGTGATATTACATTATAATAAATAATCATCGTGAATCGAACATCACTTATGTGGTCCATCAGAATTTTTTATTGTGAGGAATTTGCATTAATTGTCAACAACAATTACACATACACATATTACTAATTCGTTTCTCGTATATACATATAACGTATAATAATAGAAGCAAAAATTTTGTTTTTCCTAAATAAAAATTAAGATTCCTGGCTAGAGTTTACAAAATATTTGTCAGAATTTAAAAAAACAATAAAACTAAATAAGTTTATAAATTAATAAACAGATATAACAAATTGGTTGAATTTTTGTGCCTAAAAATACCAACCTTTTCATATTCTTTAGCTTTTCGTTTTTCCCTAACTTCCCAAATTCTTAACCTTTCTTGATAAGCCGCTTCCTTTTCACGTGCCTTTTTTTCGGCCTTCTTACGTTCACGTTCTTCTTCCTCAATCTCTTTTTCCCTTTGAATATCACGAACATTTTTTGTCGATTTTACTTCCTCACGCTCCCTAAGATTCAAAACAATACGATTTGATTGTAAAGTTATAATCTTTAGATTATTTGAAAATAAAAACCTTTCTCTTTCTCGTTCTCTCTCTCTTTCCCGTTCCCTTTCACGCTCCCGTTCTCTCTCACGTTCCCTTTCGCGTTCTCTTTCACGTTCACGTTCCCGTTCTCTTTCTTTTTCCCGATGCTCCCGTTCTCGTTCTCGTTCTCTTTCCTTTTCTCTATCTCGGGATTTGCTTCGTCTTCTTGATTTCTTATCCTTTTCCTTTTCTCTCTCCTTTTCCTTTTCTTTATCCTTTCTGGGGGATTTTTCTTTATCTTTGTCTTTTTCCTTATCTTTTTCTTCGGCTTTCTTTTTTCTATCTTTTTCTTTTTCTTTTTTACTATCCTCTGCTTCGGCCGTCTTTCGAAATTTTCCAATTTCCCTACTTATTAAATCGCGCTTATCATCCTCTAAATCGGCAGCTTCTAAGGCTTTACTTGATCGTTTTTCCGCAGGATCCATTAGATTTTTTTTAACGGAAAATGGCAAAAATGCTAAAAAAAAGCGAAAAAATTTTGCAAAATTCAAAAAAATTGTAAATTCCACGTAAATTTGAAGTGAAAGTTAGAGTATTAATCCGATAGCTATTATAAAATAAAAATACATATATATTTATGTACATATATACTAGTAAAAAGGGAGTTTTAATAATGGTTTTACTGGATATGCACATGCAAATGTTACATAAGTATATTAATGAAATTTCAAATCATACAGCGAAAAGATAGATAAAAATTCTGAAAGTCCCATACACATACTTGAGTATGTACATACATAAAAACGAATCGTGGAATATAGAGGAATATAATCGCAAATTTGTATTACAGTAAAGTAAATAAAGCATTTAATTATAAAACGTTAAAGTAAAGAGCTAGAAAATTTAAATAGAAAAAGCTCACTTTTTTCTGGTGGTCCATTTGTTTCTTTTTCACCCTCTGATAGAGTTTTTTGTATAAACCTAATGGCAATTTCATCTTCCTCCCGCTCAGTTTCAGGTTTTTGAGTTCCGTTACGGATTTCTTCCTCCTTATAATTATCCAACAAAAGCTTATTTTTAGCATCTACTTTTGCAACTAATTTTTTACCATCAACTTCCAAATCATGCAAGAGTCTAACAGCTCTAAGACCCGCCAAAGGACCACTAAAACAACACAAATCCTTCATACAATTTCTTTTCTTATTTGTTAATTACTTACTCATATTCACAAAATCCGAACGTTGATACCCTTTTCCAATTAACAACTGGACCACAGCATGCAAGAATCTTTTTTATTAAGTTTTCGGAAACGTTTTCGGCAATGTTACCTACAAAAAAAAAATACAAAAAAAGGGCATAATTATACACAGATGTATATTCATATCTTTTTTTAATTTTATTTGGTTACGAAAATTTTTTATTGTTCCAAGCAACGTACCAATAAAAACTGTTATTACAGGACCTTTGGGTTGTACTTGAATGTTTTGAATTTGTTCTACCCTATTATATACAGTGGGTTGCGAACTAATTGTCGCAGCATTCCGAAAACTTGGTCTTGGAGGAGGCTGATTCAATGGAGGCAAACTCGGCGGCAGACCCTAATACAAAAATTTAATATATTTTTCAATATCTGAATTTTCGGTTTAAAAATTACTATGTATTACTAAGAATGACTTACCAACCTCAAGATTAAACTTTATATACATATTAAATTAAATTCATAAATGCTAATATATACAAAGCAAAAATTTAAAAATGTATACATTATGTATATATGTATATATATATATAAAAAAAAACATACGTGTGCAGTCAATGGTGGCATTACCGGCGGTGGCACATTGGTACCGGCGATGTAAGACATAGACGGTGGAACCATTGGTGGTCTTCCAGAAAAAGCCATTTCTATTTAAATTAAATATCTACGAGCAAGAAAAAAAGAAATACTTTTCAAAACTTCACTTTTGCTATTTGTTCAAGTGAGTATACCCACCTTGACAGCTTCAGAACTAAACTTTTTTCCTTTTTGCTATCTACAAAAAATGTGTATAAAAAAACACTTTTACCAATCTTAATATGAAAGTTTCTATTAGAATTAATTACTTTACTCAATTTTGAAAATACTATAGAATAATAATATTCCTTCAAAAAAATTTAAACAAGTAAAATTTTATCTTCTAAATTTTGTTGAAAATTCTATTTAACCATAATGTAAATTTCCTAATAAAACGATGCTTAACTTTGACGTTTAAGCACTAGGGATGTATCGAATAAATTTTACAGTATCGATTTAGTGATATTTTTTTACGATGTCTCTATATTGCATCTAAAACTAAAATCTCAAACCACGGCTGACAGAAAGACTTTTTTATAATGTCAAGTATCAAACTCAAGATGATTCGTCTATGGTGTTAGTATTTGTATTTAAAATGCCAATAATTGTATCTGAAATTAGTTATTATTGTTCACAAAAACGTTTTAACATTTTCAAGTTAAATTAAAAAAAAACAATGTTGACTTTTTTAATCGAGATATTTTAAAACTAACCAGTCTTATTATTTATTAAATGTTAACTGAGTTATTTTCTAATTTTTGCCTTGTGAGTGAACCGAACATTTTTTGGTGCAAAAAACGCGCTAACAAAACTGCTTATTTTTTTTCTAAGTTAACTGAGTTAAAATTTAATTTTACCTAGTAAAGCAACTTATAGTTAACTATAGCAATAAATACTATTCTTGGAATTCAATTTTGATTACTCTAAATGAATATTTTTGTAAAAAATGTTCGAATTTCAAATATCAATAAATATAGCCCTAAATTAAATTATTCTGGTTTATCCCCAGAATAAACGCAATAAGAATTTAAAATTTGCCATTATGTACATCTGTATTTATATACAAACGAATATAATATATAATATATACATGTTTTTAAAACTGTCATACTGACATTTAGCAACTGACAGTGGCTGAAAATTTTCTCTTCAATTTGACGTAATATCAAAAGGTAAACTAAAAATAAAGTTTCGACTAATTTTATTTTTAAAGTTTTATTTAACAAAAAAACCTAAATTTTTAGTTTAATAGAAATGTTAAAACATTAACAAAAATTATTTATTTTTATGAATTGTCACAGAATCCAGAAATTAAGAAATACTATAACCTAATGATGAAGTAACTTAATTTTTCATCGTTGTATATATATAAATTTGATTAAATCCAGCTTTTTTTTTTTGAAAATGTCGCGCTTATTGGGATCTCATTTCATACGTAAAAAGTATAAATTAAGGGATCAAGCAATCAGACCATTTTTAATCAATTGTACAAGATTGAACTATTCCACATTAAATTATAATTATGGAAAAAATCAAACTCATGGCAGAAGCAGAAATCGTCTGTTGGAGTTTTCAAACAGTACTACATTTACTAGTCCTTTAATTACACGTAATTATGCTATGATTGCAGCTAGAATTATAAGAGGCGCATTGAAATTGCGATATTTACTGTTAGGCGGAGCAATCGGAGGCAGTTTAACATTAAATAAAAAATATGAAGAATGGAAAGATGGTTTACCCGACTTAAAATGGGTAGAAGACATCATGCCGGATAATAAACAATGGGTAGCATTTTCTCGTGGTTTAGTGTCAATCCGGGATGGTGTAGCAGAAGCTTTAACTATTGATCCAGAATTGAAAAAGCTGAGTGAGGAGAAGATTTCAGAATGGAGGGCTTGGTTCGATAGCCGTTTAGATAACGCTATTGAGGCAGCAGATATCAGTGATGGAGCTGAAATCGATATTGCTAAAACAGAAGTTAAACCGCCTTACATGATAAATGCCATGGCTGCGGCAGCTCCACAGCAAGATTCTAAAAAAAAATTCGAAAGTATGCAAAGTCAAATAGAATCCTTGCAAACGGAAATTATGACAGTTCAAATAAAATACCAAAAAGAACTAGAAAAATTAGAAAAAGAAAACCGAGAACTTAGGCAACAATATCTAATTTTGAGAACAAATAGAAAAACAGGAACAAAAAAAATTAAAAAATCGTTAATTGATATGTACTCTGAAGTACTGGACGAATTATCTGGTTATGACACTAGTTATTCAACGGCGGATCATCTCCCAAGAGTAGTTGTTGTTGGTGATCAGAGCAGTGGTAAAACCTCTGTCTTGGAATCGATAGCAAGATCTAGAATATTTCCAAGAGGGAGTGGAGAAATGATGACCAGATCCCCAGTAAAAGTTACTCTTTCTGAAGGTCCTTACCATATCGCACAATTCAGAGATTCTGACAGAGAATATGATTTGTCAAAAGAAAGTGAGTGTGCAGAACTAAGAAGAGAAATCGAATTAAGAATGAGAGCCTCTGTACGAGGAGGCAAAACTGTTAGCAATGAAGTAATTTCTTTAAGTGTCAAAGGCCCGGGCTTACAAAGAATGGTTTTAGTGGATCTTCCGGGTATTATATCTACAGTAACAGTTGATATGGCAGCTGATACAAAGGACTCAATTTTCCAAATGACAAAACATTATATGAGTAATCCTAATGCTATAATACTTTGCATTCAAGACGGATCTGTCGACGCTGAACGAAGCAATGTAACAGATTTGGTTGCTCAATGTGATCCCCTTGGAAAACGTACTATATTTGTGCTGACAAAAGTTGATTTGGCCGAAGAATTAGCCGACCCAGATAGAATACGAAAGATATTAGCTGGCAAATTATTTCCGATGAAAGCTTTAGGATATTATGCTGTAGTTACTGGCCGTGGAAGAAAAGATGATAGCATCGAAGCTATTAGAGCTTACGAAGAAAATTTCTTTAAAAATTCCAAACTTTTTCACAGAAAAGGTGTTATAATGCCACATCAAGTTACTGCTAGAAATTTAAGTTTAGCAGTTTCTGATCGCTTTTGGAAAATGGTTAAAGAAACAATAGAACAACAAGCCGATGCATTCAAAGCTACTCGTTTTAATTTAGAAACAGAATGGAAAAATAACTTTCCAAGATTAAGGGAATCGAGTCGTGATGAACTATTCGACAAAGCTAAAGGAGAAATTTTAGATGAAGTAATAAATTTATCGCAAGTCTCTGCAAAAAAATGGGAAGAATTATTAAATTCTAAATTATGGGATAAACTATCCAGTTATGTATTTGAAAACATATATCTACCTGCTGCTCAATCAGATTCTTTTAACACAATGGTTGATATCAAACTAAGGCAGTGGGCTGAGCAAGCTTTGCCCGCAAAATCAGTTGAATCTGGTTGGGAAACCTTACAAAAAGAATTCATGTCATTAATCGAAAAAGCAAAACGTAATCCTGATCATGACGACATATTCGACAATTTGAAAACTGCAGTTGTTGACGAAGCAATGAGGAAACATGCTTGGGAAGACAAAGCTATCGATATGTTAAGGGTAATTCAATTAAATACATTAGAAGATCGCTGTGTTCATGATAAACAGGAATGGGATCAAGCTGTAAAGTTTTTCGAAAATTCTGTTAAAGAAAAAATGGCTTCAACGGATGAAACACTATATGAAATGTTGGGGCCATCAGCTGTTACAAGATGGACAAATTGGAAATATTTAACTGAAGACCAAACAAAAAGACGTAATGTCAAAAATGAATTAGACAAAATTTTACACGTTGACAATAAACACACGCCATCCCTGAGTTATGATGAACTAACAACTGTTAAAAAAAATTTACAACGTTTAGGTGTTGAAGTCGATACAGATTATATAAGACAAACTTGGTATCCAATATATAGAAAACATTTTCTTAAATTAGCATTACAACGAGCTTACGATTGCCGGAAAGCATATTATTTATATACTCAGCAAGGAACTGATTGTGAAATTAATTGCAATGATGTTGTTTTATTTTGGAGGATACAACAGGTTGTTAAAATTACAGCAAATGCTTTAAGGCAACAAATACTTAATAGAGAAGCACGAAGATTAGACAAAGAAATCAAATCAGTTTTAGACGAATTTGGTGAAGATGAGGAAAAGAAGCAACAATTATTAACTGGAAAACGTGTCATTTTAGCTGAAGAACTAATTAAAGTAAGACATATTCAAGAAAAATTAGAAGAGTTTATAAATGCACTTAATCAAGAAAAATAAGAGTTTTAAAACCAAAAAGTATATAATAGGATTTGATAATTGTAATGGAATTTTTTCCAGTACTCATACTGATTTGCAAAGCTTCTCATTATTATTTGTTACTTTTTCGTTTCATATTATTATTAATGAAGTCACTCTAACTAATTGTTCAAATATTATAAAAAAAAATAAAAAGTTTTATTAGTGTTTCATTTTTCAATGTATTTGTCAGCCTCAAATGCAACATGTTCAATTATTGAATAAGAAAATATGATCTACCTACTCACAATAATTTTAACACGAACGTACTGCCATATTTCCTCTACAAAAATGGTTTAAATTAAGATAAGTTGGTAATTGAATATTTTTATATGAACACGTAAAAGACGGAAATCAAAGAATTGAAACACTAGAAACCCATATTTAAAAAAAAAACCATTCAATTATCTTTAATAGTTTTTTATATCAATTTATTTTTTATTTTTTTTAATATTACTGAAGATAGAATCCAAACTGTTATTCAAAAATTTAAAAATAAAAAAATTCATAAAACTTACATTCACTAAAGACTAATTTTTTAATATTATGTTAATCGATTTTCTTAAATAAAATACAAAAAACTCAAATCTAAAGTAATGAAGTTTTGCATTACACAAGAACACTTCTAATTATAATTGGTAAAAATTTTTCTTTTGAAAATTAAATTTAGACCTATTTAATTATAAAACAAAATACAAATTCCAATATGTTGTATTCTAAATAATGCATTTAAGTTTTTTTCTATTTTATATACATACTCGCATGAAATTCGTTACAATTGTATTTTGTACAATGCAAAAATAACAATGCAGCTCGTTGAATTTCAGTAATATCTTCGTTCATATTTTGTATCTCTGTATTTATCGTCCTTGCTACTACGGTGTCTTGTTTCTGTTTCACTATGTCTGTATAAATTTTTACTATCTTCTTTAGAATTACTATAACGTTTTCTATCTCCTGAGCGAGATCTGGATCTATCTCTATATTTTCTTCGGTCTCTGTCTCTTTCCCTATCTCTTCTTCGATCGTTGTCATCGCGGCTATCTGCTAATCGATCTAAGTAATGATGTTTTCCACTGCGTTCATCGTATTCTGCGTCATATTTTTTTCGTTCACGTTCATTACCATAACGCTTAGATTCACGATACCCACCATTATCTGTATCTCCGCTACTACAATCGTCACCATATCCTTTTCGACCCTTTGACACAGAAAAACCGCCAGATAGAATATGCAGGCTCACATTATTACCTCGACAATATTTTTCTACACTTGTTTCAATTTGTTTTTGTATCGGTACAGGTATTCTAGGGAACAATGTAGAATACCAATCAAGTTTAGTTAAAAATTGATATACCATTTGACCAATTGTCATAATTTGTCCTCCACCAGCTTTAACATCGATCTCTTCTTCATCTAGAAAATAATTTTCATACCAATTGTATAAGTCTCCAGGAGGTTGCGTGAAACGAATATACATAAACCCTAATGCACGGATATATGGCGAATCTCCGTGATTTAATAAACCATTCAATTGTTTTCTTGTTAAACGTAATGTGTACAATTTATACAATAAACAAAAAGCAGTAGAAACAATTCCCCCAGCTCCAACACCACGTACACCGCCACACATTCCTGTTTGGCCAGATGTCTTCCGAGATCCACGTTCCCAAGGCTCTAAGTGTTTCACTTGATAGTATATTTCATCTACAACTTCATGATACGTTTTAAGTTTAAACAAAGTTGTCTTAAAATAACTTGAACCCTGAATGTTAGCTAATATTAAAGGGTTAAGATTCATTGTTGATTCATTTCCCCATATTGGCAAAATATTATTTTGTTTTCCCGATTTTTTAGAAATTAACACCCCTTCGTTTTCACTCATTTCTAACAATTTTTAAACAATATATTTATTAATTACAGTTTTTTCACAATTTTATTAGCATTTTTAGAGGAGTCACATCATACTAATGACATTGATATTTTAATTGAGTTAGCACCGCTCTCGGACAATACTACAATTACAATATCTGACTCAAAATAAATATATTTGCCACATTTTTAACGTTATCCGTCAATTATTAAAAACAAACTGCGTTTGCTGAAAAAGGATGGTTTTCGAAAATTCCATTTTAAATAATAACAAAAGCTGCATCTTTAGTTTACTACCTTTTAGTTACATAGAAGCGAATTTTTTTTGCAGCTGTCAAATCTTGAGGTATATTTTTGCATCTTCGTTATACATATATTTAAGTTAGATTTAGTTCAAATCAAAAGGGATCAGTTATTTTAGCTACCTTAAAATAAATATTTTAATTTAAATTAGTCTATTTAACTCAAGCAAAAATTCTACGGTTTAAACGTTTATATAGTAAATTCTATTGATTTTATTTTGTCTGTTAATTGTTTCTTTTAATTTACTTCTAATTTATGTATAAACCATAGACCAATTAAATTCTTAAACTTATAATAGAATATATCTTTTTTATAACATAATCTCCAATGGAATTTCCCGTCTATCGATTAATTAATTAAAGATTCATATTTAAATAATTCATCATTTTAGTAAATAAATAAAAATTTTAAAAACATTCCTTATATCAATATTATAAAATATAAACGAAATTTGAACCTGAAATAAAATTATTCTTTTTTAAAACAATTAAATTTCCAGACACTAAAAATGTACTTCTTGAAGAACAAAATACTTCACTTTTCTCGATAATCTGATACTAATCTAATAATGTGAAATTTGTTGATTTTCAATTTTGTCAGGAAATTATGTTATCTTCCCAGTCAATTCATAATGTCTGTTGAATGAACATGTTTGACAACCGATTTAAGAAATATGTACATACATATTATATCACAGAATATGCTATTACTAAGTAGTGTGAACTCATTTAATTATCATATCAATATGTTTTACTTTTACATACATAACGTTGTGCAATGCATTGATTTTTTGCTTTATTTTTATTTGTTATATTAAAATAGAAGTGAAAAGTACCAAAAGAACTTTTATATGAATTTTTATGAATTCATAAATTTTTCAATATGAGTTTGGATGATGTTTTATATTTATTATGCTTGCTTACATCTATCGCAATTGGACCTTACTTTTGTAAATTAAAAAATGATTCGGAAAAGAAGTTATATGGAACCATTTTGGGTGTATTAGTTGTTTTTATTGTTTCCGGATTTCACATATTACACTGCTTTATATCATTTGCTTTATGCGCTGCAGCAATTTTATGCCTTCATCCTTGGTATGTATGTTTTATAAATGTACCTGATATCTGGTTTAAAATATATTTTCTTTCTAGTCAAAGCCATGTAGTAAGTTTTTTCATTATGTTTGGATACCTGGCCTTTTTCAGAATAACAAGTGTTTTCGGAATACCATCTCCGCCAGGTCCAACAAATATGGTTCAAATGATTCTTACGTTAAAAGTAAGTGATAACATACATTTATGTAACCTATGTAACATTCTTAGCTCCTGAACTTTGACACTTTTAAAAGACCTTGATAAAATTGAAATTACTAGATATCAATTTAATTTAATTATAAAATTATTACAGCTTGCCGGAGTAGCTTTTGAAAAAAATACAGCCTACAATAATATATTGCAAAGAAATAAAGATTTATCTGCCAAAACATCTGAGAAAACAGATAATAATGAGAAAAAAGATGTTGAATCAAAGCCAATTATTGAACTGACGGAATATGATATGGAATTACAAAATATAAATGTTTCTGATTTATTCCATTATTGTTTTAATTATATTGGAATATTAACAGGCCCGTATTATCGCTATAGGACTTACAGAGACTACTTCGAAACCCCATTCAGTCACCATGCTGACTCAAAAAGTGCTACAATTGAAAAATTAAAGTGGTGTGCTACATATGGGATAATTCATGTGATTGCTGGATATTTCTGGCCTTTAAGTGTAATACAATTTGAAATATTTTATACATTTTCAAGCTAATTAGCATTGTAAAATTTTTAGTATGTTTTGGAAGCAGAATTTTATGAACAACGTTCTTTATTATATCGTTTCTTTTACATATGGCCCACATTTTTGATATTTAGAATGAGAATTTATACTGGTCTAATATTGGGCGAATCTGTTTGTACAAGTGCGAGCTTTGGTGCATACCCGGACGAGTCCGACGTTGCAAAGGGAGAAGGTCCAAGAAAGCAATATCTCCATTTAAAAAGGTAAAATATCATTTATTTGAACGACAAAAAGCTTAACTTGCTCAATATTTAAGGGATTGTGAAAAACGTACTTATAATTTCGATACCATTAAAAATATCGATGTTTACTATGTTGAAACTGGCCCAATGTTTCGAGAAACTTTGCGGAATTGGAATATATGCGTTCAGTATTGGTTAGCTATGAATGTTTATAAAAGATTCCCCAGCAAAAAATATAGGTATAAATATTTTTAGTTTATAACTAAACTTAATATTTATACTGTTTTAAATATATCACTTTTTAGAACGGTTGTTACGCTATTAACTTCGGCTTTTTGGCATGGATTTTACCCTGGTCATTACCTCTGCATAATGGGAGGACCATTTTATGTACCTATTGAAGATATTCACCATAAACTTTGGAGAAAAGACGCTACAGGCTTAAAAAGGAAAGTGATTGATATTATGTTTTTGTTTTCCAAATTCTTCGCTTTAAGTTATTTAGGAATGGCTTTTGTACTATTAACATTTAAGGAAATTTGGCATTATTATTCATCTGTATATCACTTGGGTTACATTTATTACTTTATCTTAGTAATAACGGGACTACTGGCCGCTAAACAAAAAAAACAAACGGAGAAAGCTGAAAAACCGCGCAATGACACTGAAAAAAAAGTAGAATAATTCTTGTTTATAATTTTGTTAAGCCAAAAAGAGATCTAAGCATGTATTTTTATACTTTATATAATTTTTTTTAAAAACTCATTGAAATAATTTGTAAATTGATATTAAGTTTTCGTAGTTATATTGTTCTGTTATAAGTTCAAGATATGTTATCTTTCATACAAACGTTATCAAAAGTAAAAAGAAAAAAATAGAGCTAATTACACAAAACAGACAACTTAAAGATTGATTAAAGTTCAGTTACTAGTCAGACAAAAACAAAAAATTGTAATGAGTCATCCTATTTGCCATAAAAAAAATGATATTCTTTTTAGTAGACAAATTTTGTAGCATTAATCAGTGATAGAACACAAAGCTGTCTACCAATTAACATGTTAATTTCGATTTAATCATGCGTATATTATAGTTAAAAGAAATATGTACATCTTTAGTAAAAATCTTTAATTATTTGAGATAAGCTACTGTACCTATTAAAATTTAAGAATAAAAAGAAAACTACGTATGGAATAAATGGGAAATTGTCATGCATTAACTTTTTTTAATTTCCTTCTTCATTTTGAATGAACATTTGAAGCTAAGATACTATTAGGAAAATCCTAAAGGTAAGTGTCTATGTATGTAGGTTTGGGTCATTAAAAGAGATAGAAAAATTTCATTTAGCTTTGTATTAACATTTTTAAGTTTGAATTAATTCTAAAGTTCAATTAATTCTAAAGTTTTTGATGAAATTTTTCTAAAAATTTAGATTGATAAAATGAGCTAAAATTCCTTGTAGAAAGAATAAATAAAAAAATCACTGATATTAGTATTTAGTATGTATTTCGTACGATATACATATGTAGGTTACGTATGGAAGTCGATTCAGAATAAACTTTATCCGTGAAATAAATTTAAGTTAATAGTGGCTATTAGGGATTTCTATTAAAGTGACATCTTTTTATATATGCTATGCCAAAAAATTTTAAGACAACTAGCACATACATACATAAATTACTGAGTTATTTTAAAGATTAAAAAATCCTGTCCGTATTCTTCTATGTCTATATCTATTTAGAATAATAGGGAAACCGCCTATATTTACGAAACCCATAAATATTATAAATGCATCTATGTGTGTAGATAGCTAAATATGTAAGTGTATATGAAAATTCATTAAAAAAAATAGTTTTACTTTGGTTTCGACTTCAATTCACTTTTGCAATTTTTTCGTTTCCAAATTTTATTATTCTGACTTTTTTTTGTATTTGGTTGCTAAAATTGCTGTTATTACCATTATAAAGAAGTAAATATAGCCTAAATGATAAATAGATGAATAATAACGCCACAAATCGTTAAATTTTAATAATATAAAAGGCACTGTTAAATAACTATAAGCGAACACTTTTGTGGTTAAAAATGCAGCATAAACAAATTTTGATTTTAAGCCTGTGACTCCTTTCCACATTTGATAATGAATTTCTTCCACAAAACCGTAAAATGCTGCTCCTACTAAACAAAAATAGAATCCAGGGTGAAAGCCATGCCAAAAAGCTGAAGCTACAAAAGTTGCCAATTGTCTATATTATATGTAAATAGAATTTCTGAAACTTTTTATGTTAGAATCGATTAATTAAATGTAAAACCTGTATTTTTTGCTAGGAAATCTTTTATAAATATACATAGCCAACCAATATTGAACACATATGTTCCAATGTCGTACCGTTTCGCGAAGTGTCGGATGTGTTTCAATACAATAAACATCCATACTCTTGACAGTATCGAAATTATAGGTAAGTTTCTCACAATCTCTGAAATATGAAAATTAAAAGGCTTTATTTTAATATTTGAATTGACTTGTTTCGTTTTACCGTTTCAAATGAAGGTATTTTTTTCTTGGCCCTCCTCCTCTGGCAACATCCGATTCATCAGGATATGCACCAAAACCGGCACTTGTGCAAACACATTCACCTAATATCAAACCAACGTAAAGTCTTGTTCTAAAAATTAAATATATAGGACACATATAGAAGACACGGTATAACAAAGAGCATTTTTCGTAAAATTCTGCTTCCATAGCATACTAAAAATGGAATTGTTCATTGAAAGTTTTAAATTTGACTATCACTTAAAATTATTTTACATTTATTGGCCAAATGTATCCAGTAATTACGTGGATTATTGAATAAATTGCACACCATTTTAATTTTTTAATTGTAACATTTTTTGAATCAGCGTAATGCCTGAATGGTGTATTAAAATAATCTCTATAAGTTCTATAGCGATAGTATGGACCAGTCAGTAATCCAATATAATTAAAAGAATAACAAAATAAATCTATGAAATTTATATTGTATAGTTCCATATCACATTCTGTGAGTTCAGTTGTCTCATCGACTTTCTTTGAAGTTTTTGCTGATAATTTTTTATTTTTTTCTATTGTCATATATGCAGTATTTATTTCAAAAGCAATACCTGTAACCTACAAAAATAATTAAAATATCTGCAAAACTTATCATGTAAAAATGTTGTTCATTGTTAAAATACTTAAAAAAGATTTTTGAAACATTTCTTTTGCAGCTTACTTTTAACGTAAGAATCATTTGAATCATATTTGTTAATTTTGGCGGAGATTGTATTCCAAATAAGTTTGTTGTTCGGAAAAATGCCAGGTAACCAAACATTATGAAGAGGCACACTACATGACTTCGACTAGAAATAACCCAATTCATATATTTATGTACATATGTATGTTTATATAATAAGTTATTCTAAAATAATATGAAAATATTAAAAAAAAAACATACCTAAAAGGAAGGAATGATATTGCGACAGCACATAAAGCAAATGACACGAAGCAATGCAATGCATGGATCCCGGAAACAAAAATAACTATGAGTACACCTAAAATAGTTCCGTACAATTTTTTCTCCGAATTTTTTTCTAGTTTGAGAAAATATGGTCCAATTGCAATAGATGTAAGCAAAAGTATTAAGTACCAGTTATCGTCAGACATATTTTTTAAAAATAATTAATTTACAGCAATTTATTTAACAAAAATTATTTTCAACTTACACTAAATTCTAAAGTAAGACTGAAGAAAAAACAAATACTTATTTTCAAGTTAAACTCATTTTATAAAATTAATTAATTCACAATAAAAAACTTTATTTCAGTTACCTTTTGTAAATCAAATAAAATTTTTTATTACGAAAATAAAATCCTTTTAATTTAGTTAAAAAATGCAAAGCAAAATTTACAAAACACGTATAATGCTGCATTGAAAATTAATGTTTATTGTTAATACCTTAAAATTAATTATTACCATTTAATTAGTTATTACCATTTTTTAAAATACTGCTTAAAAATATATGGAAAAATAATTTACTACAAATGTTATCTACTTTATACAAACATACATACATATGTGCATACAAATTAGAAAAGTTTAGTCGTTTTGTGTTTTGTATATGTATGCGCATAAAAATGGTATAATAAGATTTTTACAGGTTAAAATAATTTTACAATAAAATTTAAAAAAATATTCTTTTATCAATTCAATTAGAACTTATGTTTTCAAAAATATTTTTGATAGCAATCTTTTATTATTTTAGAAATTAAATTCACAAAACCATAATTTCAAATTACCTCATTAACATACATAATAATTACAAAATTAATACACTTACTTGTGTGCAATCATATCATAAAAACGTTCACTTAATTTTTTTTTTGTTTAATTAATAACGGGTGTATTATTAAATTTTGTTAAGCTTTCCGGAAATAAGCGTATGCTCTCTTTTGCTAGTCAATTCCAAAAATTTTAGAAATTAATTTATCTAAATTCAAAATTTCCATAATAATTAATAATTCGGAATATAACATAAAAGAAAACCTATGTACACACATACTTGTGTACTTGCATACTTAATAACAAAGGGAACCTTTTGTATTATTTCTAGTTATATAAAATCCTTACAAAATATTTTGCATATTTAAAATGAAATATTTATATAATCAAATATAAAAATCGATATTCTCGATATTCGATCTGTAACTTGAATTCAAACTGGATGTATCAAATTGTCAAAGCTGTTTAACTCACGAATATCTATTTTAACTGTTGAATTGTTGAATTCTATCACTTTTAATATGAAAGTGAAGTGATATAGAAGATTCATTATTATGAAAATAATGTAACTTTCATTATTATAAATTACAATTCAAAAAATGTCCATACATTTATATATTATATTTTTAATAAACAGCTTCAAAAAAAACTCCTTTAATCTAACTAGAAACTAACGGTAGTCGACACGCGAAAAATGTTTTACATGACGATTCTTGCATCAATGGTTGACATTATGTTAGCCTCCTTTGCTCATAAGATAAGTTGGTGTTCTGTGTTAGTCTGTAATTTGTATTGGTTGTAATTTTACAATAAAAAGTTTAATCAGTATAAAATTTCGCTTTTATTTTAAATAAAATTTTTCCAAATTTAAAAAATTAGTACAAATAGAAACTCATGAGTTCCCTTCACGAGGCAAAAATTAAAAAATAACTTGTTAAATTTTGATAATTAATACCTCGAGGCTAAAACATATATAATATAATATTAACTAATAAAATAACTAATTTTTAAAACACCTGTGTTATTTTTTGAAAACAACAAAGTATGTTTTAAAATTAATACGACTTGTCAAAAACTTAAATAATAATAACTCTTGGTGAAAGAAAAACTCTCACGAAATAAAACTTGTTACTTTTTTCTAAGACAACTGAGTTAAAGTATAAAGGGGTCTGTGGAAAAAATATGGCAATGATGACATGTACGCAAATAATAAACGGTGTTTTGAAATGTATTGTACTGTAAAAGAAAGATGTCAATGTCATGTAAATTAAATTATCAATAAGTTTTTACGGTTAATAAAAAAAAATAACGATATTATTTAACAGCTGATTTTGACAACACTCATACTTTTAAGTTTATGCAATATTAAATATTTTTGTAAGTGCCGGAAAAACTGAAAAAATTAAATCCGAATTTTCATAATGGACAGTTTTGGAAGATTCGGCCCGCTAATTGGAGTAATATCAATAGGAAATACTTACTGCAAATTCTTAGTAAATTTTTTAAGCAAACATTTATTTGAGTTAAATTGAGATTTGCTAATTAATAGGTTTATGCTGCTAAAAATGCTGAAATACTTACATGCCATGAAATTAGAATTAAGCAAATTTCACAAAATACCGGCTGGCTAGAATTTGATCCTCTTGAAATTTGGGCAAACGTAAATGAATGCATTGAGGTAATAAATGCTCAAAAATATAATTAAAAAATGTAATTCTCTTGTGAAGAATATTACTCTGCTTTTAGATATCAAGTAAAAATCTCAAGATTTTAGATATCAATCCACTTGATATAGTTGCAGTTGGAATATGCAATCAACGTGGGACCACAGTTTTATGGCACAGTAAAACTGGACTTCCATTTTACAATGCTATAGGTATGGATAAGTTATAAAAATATAATTTTAGCAAGACATAATGATAAAACTTTTACACTGATTTTTTAGCTTGGTCCGATTCACGTACGAACACTATATTAAAAAATATTTTAGATAAATTGAAAGGTAAACAAAATTATTTAAAATCTGTATGTGGGCTTCCATTAAGTACATGCTTTAGTGCCCTCAAAATATTATGGTTAAAAGAGAATTTCACTGTAGTAAGTAAAGCCCTTACAGAAAAGGAATGCTTTTTTGGTACTTTAGATTCCTGGATAATTTGGGTAAACTGACTAAAGCTGTTTGTTATCTTTATTGATTTTGTTTTTAAATTATTTAATTTTGCTTTTTAGAACTTAACTGGTGGAAAAAATGGTGGAATTCATATAACTGATATTACTAATGCCGCATACACAATGCTTATGAATATAGAAACTTTAAAATGGGATAGAAATTTATGTGAATTTTTTGGAATTCCACAAACAATTTTACCAAATATACGTTCGTGTTCCGAAATTTATGCGTACATTCATGATGGTGAATTAAGAGGAACTCCTATAGCAAGTGTAAAAAATTTAAAAAATTTTTGTAAAAGAAAAATGCTAAATTGATTTACAATTTTTTAGTCCATTGGAGATCAGCCAGCAGCCCTTTTAGGGCAATTAGGTCTAAGAGTAGGTCAAACCTCGTGTGCTATTGATGACTGTTGCCACGTATTAATTAATACTGGACAAGAAATCATAGACTCTGAAAATGGTCTTCTCACAACAGTGGCATTTAAATTAGGGAAAGAAAATGTATGTTATGCTTTAGAAGGTGCTATTGCTAATGCTGGTGGTAGTATTAATTGGTTAAAAGAAAAACTTGAAATTAATACGGAGATCAATCAAAATGATACCACTGCCGAGGTGTTAAGCAATTTCTTGGGTGATAGTTCAATGATGTCATCGTCAAACTCTTCGGTAATATTTTCGAATACAGACACTGCAAACGCTTTTAGAAAGAGTGAAGTTTTGTTTGTACCAGCTTTTAATGGACTATATTCGCCATATTGGAGACATGATGCAAAAGGGTATTTATTGGACATTTCAAAAATATGTAAAATATTTTTTCAAAGAATCTTTTTTGTAGTTTAATTCTAGGAATTTCAGGCAACACCACTTCCGAACATATAACACAAGCTGCTTATGAATCTACGGGATTCCAAATTCGTGATATTTTAGAAGCTATTAAAAAAGATACACCAACGTGGCCGAAAACCAGGCGATTAACTGTTTCAGGAGAATTTAGTGAAAATAATAATTTTATGCAATTCATTGCAGATATTATTGGAATTGGATTAGGTGCAACTATAATGAAATATTTTTTTTATTAACTAACATTCTATTGTTCTTATAGACCGCCCACAAACTGCTTCGGCTTCTTGTTTAGGTGTTATGTTGGCGGCTGGCAGAGCTATGGACATACTTTCACTTGAAAATGCTCATTTTTTGTACACCCCACCATCAGATCTATTTTTTCCAACAACAACAGCAAATCGTAAAAACATAAAATAATCTCTTTAACTTATATTTAATTTTTGCAATTTTACAGGCAGAGAAATTTTGTATCAAAGGTGGCATTATGCAGTGAAAAAGTGCATTTCATGGGATAATTTTGAAAATTATGAGAATGAAATTCAAATTTTTACACAACGTGAAAAAGATCCAGATGCAAATGTACGACGATCAATTCCCGGGTCTTTATTTATTACAACATCATTTGCTTTATTACTAGTAGCGCGTTATTTAAAAAATCTTAATATTAATTAAAATAGTTTTTTAGTCGTTTAAAAGATATTTTTTAATCGTACACTCGTACACATAAATTTTTTTTTTTAATTTATTTTTTATTTTTTAATATATAAGATAATTTAGTATGCATTTTCAAAACTGTTGAATAGAATGTATCATCGATATTCGATGTTAATTTACCTTTTAATTTTAATTTATTGACATTATGTTTATTGTTCATGTTATGTATTGAGGTGTATCATATAAAAGCAGTGATTAATGATCGTACAAAATTTTTCAGTCTAGTCAATGAATGCATTATTCGAATAATTCAGTAAATGGTTTCTAATATGAAAAACCGAAAGTAAAGTTAGTACCGTTGAAATAATCAATTTAATGTTCCAATAATTGTTATTTAATTTTAAATAAAAAAAAAAAATTTTAACCATGTATTTTGATAAATATAATGTACCTAAAACGCTTATGTACGAATGAAAAATCTATTGTATATTTTCAAAAAGTGTATTTATTATTAAAGACTTTGAGAATTTTAAAGAGTTAGAAATTGTATTAGATTAGAGATTATATTTATTTTTTATCATATATGTTGATGATATATTTTAAGCTTTCAAATAAATATGTTGAAAAAAAAAATATTCTGATTTTTTATCTCTTCTACTTGTCGTTTTATTTACTATTTAAGATATGGTGTTGGTTTTAACAAAAATTTTCAATGACAAAACCGGAGATTTGTCCTAAGATAAGTTAACTTGACCGTGACCGTAAGAAGAAATTAGCTTTTTTATCTCTTGCTAATTAGCTTTCTATAATAAAAAGTTTCCTTTAATATTATAATTGAAAACTCCTACACGGGAAAGTAAAATAATTAAACTTTAGTAATTGTCATTATTAAAAAATTTCAGAAAAAAAAAGATATGTAGCTATAAAATAATTTAAAGTAAGACAATAAATAAAGTTTCGAATTTGTTGTTAATCATGCACCAGCATATGTTATATGCATACATATAAAATTATAAATTATTTTCCATTCATAGAAAACATTAGTTTCTTTTGTGTAGTACATAATGCATTAACAAAATTAGGTAGTACAACCATGCATACAAAATCCGATGATGGTAGCCAATCCATAAATAGAAAAACATTGGTATTAATAATAATCAATAATAAATTTTCCTTTTATTTATTTTTTTTTTCGTTATTTACTATTCCTAATTTGGATGCTAATTATATAATTCAATAAGTTAATAATTTTAAAGGAAATCATTTGATAGTTAAACTTATAAATAATGATACATACATATTAGATATTAAAATAATAATGTATACATACTTACATATGCATGTATATAATTTGGTATAACAACTTATTTATTTTAAGTTGCGACTATCATTTTATCATTTATTTTAATTCAAAAAAATTAAAAGAAAAAAAAAATATGAAAAAAGCAGATGAATAATATAATTGTGTGAAGACTATCGTTAAAAATTTATTTTTTTTTTTTTATTTACTTTTTTGTTAACATAAAAACTTTATAATAATTTAAAAGAAGCGCAATGATGCATCCATACTGTTGAATGACTTAATTGGTTAAAATAAAATATTTACAAAAAATACAAGGTGACTAAGTTTTAAAGAGTATTTTCTAATAAAATTTTAATATGTATGAATATTTGATTTTTTATAAATTAAGTTACTAAGGAATATAATAACCTACATATATAATATAGCAGTCAGTTATTATTGAAATTTATAAAAAAAATAAATGTATAAAAATTTATATAATTAGATTATTTTATCCTAAACTTACGGATAATTGGAAAATGATTAATATAAAATAAAAATTTTTTTGATTTTTACTGGACCAGAACTGTTTTAAAATTGATTTCGAATCGATAAGAATGAATGCTGGAGGAATAAAAAGAATGAATGCTGAAAGAATGAAAAATACTCGCTTATCATAATTTAGAATAAAAAAAATACTGAAATAGATAACGGTGATATCAAATTTACTGTAGTATTTTCAAAAATGATTATGAAAACTCTTAATTCAAAGTACCTTTATTAGCAGTTTATTGTAAAACTTTAATATATGTACATGCTTAATTATTTTTGATTCATTATACACCTTGTAAAAATCTTAGAAAATAAATCAATTAAAAAACTGCTTGTTTTCTTTTGATATTTTTTTTTTTTTTTAGGAAAAGATTAATGAAATGCTCTTAAAAAATTAAAATTTTTTTTCTTTCTAATTTTTTGTCAAATTTTTATTGTAGATAACAATTAAAAAAAAAAATAACATAATGTGTTCATCAAAAAAACAAAATAAAAAAAGAACAAAACAAAATAAATAATAAAAAGCTTGTGCAAGAATTCGATTTTAAGTCAGGAAATTAAAGAGTGAAAAAAGATTAAGAAAAGATTATAGAAAAACCTAACTAGATTAAAATTATAAAATTAATGAACGTGTAAATAGTTATCGAAATAATGTCGAATTACATTAATATCAAAAACTCTTTTCGGATTAAGTTGATTTAGAGAAGAGAAAAGTTAATTTTTGTTTTTGGAATTTTTTTTATAAAAATCTATATATATATAATATATATACAATATAAATGTTGTTTTTCAATAGATTTTTAATGATGATAAAATAATATCATAGTTGATTATCTATTTTAAATTCATCTAATTTAATTTGATTTATTGGTGATAGATCACAATATTTTGAGATTATTTGGTGAATACTGAATACTGGTGTAAATTGAAAACTTCCAAAACAACCGTCATATAATAATATTATGACTTAGTAATGACGCTTTCATATAACTACATTAATATGTGACTACATTAATCGGCAAGTAAACAGCTTTTCTATATATGTACATATGTATGTATTCATTTTCGAATTTCATGGCAAAAAATGAAGGTAACCGAATTCGAACGTATAAATTTTTGAATGAATAATGATTTCCTATTCTTTAATTACAATAGAACTTGAAAATATTATTTTAGTTTTCTAAAGTTTGGTTCTATCTTTCGATAGACTCTTGTAATTTATTTTGTATATTGTAGGAGGTGTGTTTTTGCAATAGCAGTCGTTTAAATTTTTTAAACTTTTAATCAAAATATTTAAAAATTTTAAATGTAATTATGTGCGAATAAATATGTTTGATATTAATACTCGTATTATGTATGCACTACTTTGTATAATGGAGCACAAATTTGTGCTTAATTACTTTGGAGTCCAAATTTGTTCAATTTAAATTATTTTCACTTCCCAGCAAATTCCATGTGATAAAATATTTAATATTCTTCTTGTAATAAGAAGAATATTAAATATTTTAACAATCTTCAAGAAAAAAAATTAATTAATAAAATTCTGCTTTATTACTTAATTAACAAATTTTATTTGCTTTTGTTTTTATATAAAGAATCAATAATTTATCACTTAAGAATTGTTGTTAAAATACATTATTCATGTTATAAAATAATAATATTTAAAATGAAAAAATATTTAAAAAATAAGATATTTAAGTTTAATAATTTTTACTTTCCAAAATTTGCAAAATTCGGTTAATATTTTCTTCCATTTTTTGAATACGACTTTCATTTCTTTTATGCTTTTCTTTCTTTTCAATTATTGCTAATGCTGTTTTTACAGTTCTTACATCCATTTCTGAACAACGATTTGTTATATAAGAACAACAGCATGGTAATAATTTAACTGGTGGATCAATTAATCGTTTTTCACGTTCTGATTCATTGGCGAATGTCTTTTTTAATAGAGCACTATCGACTCCATTTACTTTAACAAATGTTCCCATTTCAGTTGAATTTTGTATTGGTATCATAATACGATTACGATCATTTGGTAAAATTGATATTTGATTACCATGTATTAAATCGGGGAATATATTTATTAATCGTTTACAAATTGAACGGAATGGTTCATGATTAACAATAAATGACGTTCGGCCATCTTTACCAGATAGAGCTCTTTCATAACCCGATAATATTATTGTACGACAAATGGAACCATTAAGTTCTGCTTGTGATTTAATAGCCTAAAAATATATATGTATTATAAAAATAAATTTATTAATTATTTTTTAATATGTTATATGGAAAATTAAATAAAATAATTTGGAATTAGTTATAATGAATTTTATAAAATAATTATTTAATAGAATTATTATGTGAATATTATTCTAACCTGTGTATCACTAACAGCCAGACCATTAAGCAAATTGAATAATACAATTGACATAAAGAATACAAATAAAAGAAATACTAAATAGCTATAAAATGAATTGAATTCAATATCGCCAGCATCAAATTCTCCAGTTAACATAACAATAGTTTTAATAATAGCTGTAAATGGATTTGCAAATTTATTAAATTCTCCTTCATCACCATTTTCATTGTCATTTCCAGAACCATTTTCACCATTATCTGTTTCAGTTCCATTTCCTTTACTACCTGGTTTACCAAATAATATGTAAAATGAAATACTAAATGTTATAACAAACATTGAATATAATGCAAAACATTTTAAAAATGTTTCTGAAACAGCTCTTAACATTAGCATATGCGTTGATATAGATAAAACTGGTAATGAACCAACTAATAAACAGAGTTCAAGTGTTGCCAATAATATTGTAAATACTGCCAAAACTCTTTGTGTTTCCTTTTCATAATTCGGTTCACTTAATGTTACTATTGTTAATATTATTAATATAATTTCCATATAATTTATTTGTGATCTTAAAAATCCACTCGGTGACATTATAAATTGTAATAATTCCCTTAATATCATATAAACTAATCCAACAAGTGATAGTAAATAAAATATGTTTACAATTGCATCACCGGCAGTATTATTAAATTTCAATATAATAAATGTAACTAATGATGCACAAAATATTGAATATAAAAGGAAATTTATATAAAAAATTAATGAGAGACGATGCCATTTTAAAAATAAAAAACTTGTAATAACGGGATGTTTTAAAAGATGTTTCAATTCCTTTGTTTCAGCAATATATTCAATTGGTGTCATTTCACATTTCACTGTATTATTTGTTTGATTCTTTATGTCCTTACAAGTCGGAATAAGATTACTATAATTAATAGTAATTTCAAAGAGATTATCACCAGGTTTTAATCCATTCGTTTTAACACATGAATCAAGATAATTTTCTAATATTTCTGGACTAATATCAGTTATTGAAATATCATTAAATTGACTCATTGTACCCATATAAGCACCACGTTGTAAAAGTTCATTTATTGCCTTCTCATTTTTATATTTAATTGCATAATATAGTGCTGATGTACCGGATGGATCAATTTCATTTACATCAATTTTATCAGAATTTAATAATGTATAAAAACATGCATTATAATTTGTAAAACTATTATATGATTTTTCATCTAATTTTTGTATAATAGTTTTAAGAAGATTATCTGTTTTTGAAACAACAACACTATCATCATTTAAAAGTTCTTTTAATGCTTCATTATTACCCCATACACAAGCAATTTTCAATGGATTCTTATCAGTACGTTTTGTATTCAAATTACAATTACCAGTCTCTTTAATTAATTTAAATGCATTATTTTGACCATTTTGTATAGCTTCCAATAATAATGATAAATTTTCTTCTTGACGTAAATTTTGTTGATTATCACCGGAACTATTTGTTAAATATTTATTATAATTATTAATAAAATTTTCTTCATTTCCATTTCGAATATATGATATAAGTGCATCATAACTAATTGTATCACTATTTTCATCTGGTAATTTAATATCAGGATATTGATTCATTAAAAGTTGTCGGGCCTTACCATCACGGAATGTATCCAAATCGATTTGACAACTATTTAATAAATATTTAATCATTTCTTTTTTATTTATATTATTTAAATGTTTATTATCAATAATATATAGAATTGGTGTAAATTCTCTTTGATCTGGTATATTTGGATTTGCTCCATAGTCAATTAAAAGTTTTATACATTCAAAAACATCCAAATAATTTTCAGATGTTAAATTTTTCGCAAGACTATTTAATGGAGTTAAATTTGAGTATTTTGTATTAACTGGTACATTTTTTACTGACAAAATACTGGCCATAATTTTTGGATCTCTTGAATCTGCTGCATAATTTATAGGTGCTTTATTTGTACGACGATTTATCTATTAGTAAGAAATAAAAATTTTTTTTTGAAAAATATTAATAAATTGCAATAATTAATAAAATTATAAATTATAGCTCACATAATCGCATTTACATCCACGCCGAATACATTCATCAACAAAATCTGAACATCCATATGTTTTTAATGCCATCTCGAATACACTAATATTAGTCTGTGAATCCATTTTTGTTGGATCAGCTTCCATATCTATAGCGATTTTAAAATCCAATAAATTCCTCTTTTCAAGTGCTTGTGATAAAAGAACCTATATACGAAAATAATAAAACGAAAATATTAATTAAGTCTGCCCTTATATGAACCTTATTGCAAATATTTCTTGATATACATATATCATAGTGAAAATATTTACCTGAGGATCTTGCATGCAAACTGTAAAGGCATCCATATCAACTGTGTGTGATTTGTCCATTTTTAATTTCAATAGGGACGGTCAGAAATAATATAATTAAAAAAATTGGTTTAGAAAGGTAAAAATCTGGAAAAGAATAAAATAAAAGAAATTTTTAATAATTTCGCTGTAATATGATCAGGTGTAATTAAAAAACAAAATAAAAAATTTATAATTTATTATATATAGTTCAACTCAATTTTGATATTAAGTATTGCAATATTAGGTCAGATTTAGGGACTCATGTTATTATTCCGTACATACCTTAGAGCAGGGTATAATAACTTTGGTATGAAGTTTGTAATCACTTAAAAGAGCCGTCCATACGATATGAACATGTATATACATACATATGTATCTACATACTCTTGAACAACTCCAGGCTTTTCTATTCAAAAATGCAAAACCCAGAGTATGGATAAAATTTTAAAAATTATGTATGAATTATGTATGAAGTTGATATGACAATATTAGTAGAATTCATGAATGGGCCTAAAAGAACATACAAATTCTTATACTACATATAAGTATGTATGTACTGTATGTATGTACTACATATAAGTATGTATGTATTATATATAAAACAGCAATTTTCATGCATTTAACAATTTAAACAAAAAATTAAGAATTAAGATTTTAAAAGGTTTTCATTTTTATATCTAAACAATAATGAACTAGCCACAAACAAACATTCATATACATATATATATATATATATGTATATATAGAAATGCATCTTTATTAAAACTGTAGAATGTATAAACTTTCGAAAGTTATATTAAAAAATTCTATTCAATATCCTCGTATTGATTGGATCAGATGAGTTTTTATGTACAAACATAAACATATGTATGTACATATATTGAATTTCATTTAGGTATACCGAATTATTTATATATAGCCGTGCATTATACAAAATTAATTTTATTCGATATTTTTATCACATTTATAAAATCGATTATAAAATTAACTATGAAATAAATCTTAAAAAGTTTATGTATAAGTCAGAGTTTCACGATTTAGCCATAGACACCATAAAAAATTAAACCTTTTTAAATTTGTTAATCTCATGAAAATTCATGCAACAGGTAGTATTTATGTTAATTTTAACATAATCTTATACATATTTATTATATAGGTACATAAAACAAATTTATTTAAACAAATTGCATTTTACACACTTTATGCTCACATATTATGCACAAAATATTTGATAATTAATGTGCTGAAATTTAAGTATCAAAGGTTTCGAAAATTTTAAAGATCTACATAAAACAAAGAGAAGTCTAGAACATAAAATACATGTCTAATGAATTTCAGAAGTAAAAAAAAGAAAAAATAAAAAAAGTTTTATTGGAAAAATTTATGTTTTTGATTTGTGTTCCAAAAAATTTAATATGCGTGTTTAAAAGTGATGAATGAAAATTTTAACCTGTCACTTTCTATAATTACCCAAACTCATCTAAATTTTTTAGCATTAAATAAAAATATTAATTTATTTTAATTATTTACGCTATATATAGAGTGTGTAATCGCGAGAAGCAATGTTAATGTTAATTTAAATAGAGAGAGGTGTGTGTGTATGTAGTTAAATATTAAAAATTTTATTCGAATAGCTTTAGTTTTATATTAATTTAATTATAAAAGAGTAGCTGAGCTAAGCTGGAAAATTAAGTTTTTTTTTAATTTTTTTATAAATACGAGTTTTAAATGTTCTCTAATATTTAAAATTTGAGATTAATTTCAATTTTTATTAAGATTCGTAGTTTAGAAATTAAACTATTTTTGAATCTGTAAGTCAATGAATTAGAAACTGGCTGGGTTCTGAGCTATTCGGCGCCGTACGCGGTTCTCAAACAGTGTGCCCTCCCGCTTTCCAAACAATGAACAATATGCTATAAATATTGAATATTACATAATATAATAACTGCGCCCCTGTTTTGTGGCGCTCATTGTATATGCTTACTTTGCATATATGACAAATCCGGCGCTGATTAGAGATTTATGTTATATAGTTTTTCTATAAAGATGGAATTCAATTTATATTAAAGAATATGTGTTATATAAAAAATTGAAAAAATTATAAATGAAATGCGTTAAAAAAACCTTGTAAACTTAATACGAACACTTGTAATTTTAATTTACAATAAATTTTTCTTAGTTCCATAAATTTTAACAAAAATAATTTCCTAGTTCAGTGGTTGTATTTTTAATTCATTCTATTATACGAGCTTTTTTTAGGTCTTTCAAATATCCTAGAACAAAAGGAATATAGACTTCAATCTAATATTCATTGAAAATTTATAATTAAAATGCTAATAGTCAGATTATAATAAAAGGAGCGTAATATTATAACAATTTTCATGTTACGAGTACATTTACAAATATTCATGATCGTGGTGTAGTTTTATGTATTTCCATAAACATTAAGATTGCAGTATGAGGACATAAATATTGGGGTAAGAATATTTTTTTTGGAATTTATAAAATAAGTTTTAATAATAAACTTTTGATTTACAATTCATAATAAGGATTTACATTCATACATAATTTGAGATCCAAAATTAATTTACAATAAATAACAACTTTTATATTGAATTGTAGCATTCATACTTTAATAATTAAATTTTTTATGTTCGAATAATTTAAAAATTTCAATAAGAAAAATTTTCAATTTTTATTATTTACAGCTAGCTATGTATGCACTTAAAATTTTATTACCATAAATACTTTTTAATATTTTGAAAGAATTTTTCTTTTTAATAGTTCAATATATTTATGAAAATATTCAAGTAAAATATATAAGAAGAAAAGGGAATTTCATACGTTTGTTAACTATTTTAACAGTTTAATTGAAAATTTGTAAAAATTGCATTAGAAATTAAAACACAAATCTATATAAAAAACTGGCCAATTCAATTTTTAAAATTTCTAAAAATGTTCTCGTATATAAAACTCAACATGAAATATGAAATAATTAAAAAATTTAAATTAAGTTCTGAATAATTTTTTTTTTGCAAACATTTGCAAAAAAAAAGTATGTATAAGTCATAGAAGCAGGCCTATCTTTTAAATAATTTTAAATAATTTCAAAGGAATCTATACTATTCTTAATTTAATAAAAATATTTGGTAATTTAATAAATATTTACAAAAATTATCTTATCATTTATAAATTATCCGTAGAACACACTGTCATTTTAAATACTCAATTTGTCATTTGAATTTTTTTCCAAAATTAATACTTGACTAAACATTTAGAACTTAATTGACTATTTTATACCACATAATCGTGTCATAATTTAATGATAAAAAAAAAATTTTTTTTTTCTATTTCCCTTACATTTTTATTTACACAAATACTCTATATTCTTCGCCAAATTACAATAAAATAAAAATAATCAAGTGTCAATAAAAAAAAAATTTTCTAAATAAATAAAAATCTAAATGAGGGGGGTGAAAAAAAATCACATAAAATATTACTCATATAATAAGGATTTTGACACTATGAAAGAAATTTTTATATAATAAAGGACATATTTTATCTCAAACAATTTTATTATTGATAAATAAACCCCCACCCCCTTTCATTATTTATTTTCAACATATTTTTTTTTTAAGAAATTATTATTCATATAAATGATTCATTTAGAAGTTCTTCGATGTGCAATTTTTATTTTTATATATTACTATCAGTTTTGTATTTTTATGTGTATACTATACAGAGTTCTAAATCTTAGTCTAGAAGCGACATAGATTTATTTTAATTGAAAAGAGCAAAAATGATTTTTTTAGTGTATTAAGAAATTTTAATTATAGAATATTTTTTTAAGTACAATTACAGACTACATCATGAACCTTTGTCACAAAAGTTATTAAGTATAATTTTTGCTAATATACTATTCCATATTGCGGTCAATATTATAACTAAAATAATATCGTAAAATTATATTCTCGTAGAATCCGGACGAATACCGCTACCTATACTAAATTTTATTTCTAAAAGCAATGTGCTTTCTTTTCCTAATTTTTAATAATTAGTGCAACATTGTAATGTGAAATGCCACTGAGTATAGTTATTCTAATATAATAATTAATCTTATAATAATTAATTTTAATATAAATAAATTTGTAATATAAAAATTATAATTAAATTAATAATTGAATTCAAATAAAATTATTTATCATTAAAGAAAATGTTTTTAATAAAATTACATGGTGGTATAATAACCCATTGTAACCACTATATCTACAACTCATTTTATTTTTAAAATTTTAAAATATAAATGAAAAATTTGAAATTTAATTAAAATTTTTCCATTTTTATCTGAATATAATGAAAAAACATAAAGTATTATCATTTGAAAATTAATTAAGGGATAGCGTTAGCTGCAAGTTGGACTTTGAATTCGAAACTGACTGACTGTTTAAAAAGTAGAATATATAATCAATTTGAGGTTATTGTTACTTGAAATGTTTCCAAATTTCTTCATCTTGTTTCATGCCTTAAGTTAGATTTGCATCGCACGATAAAATTCGAATCATTGATTCATGGTAAGTTCGAATTGAAAATTTCTGGTGCTAATAAACATTTGAATACATGATATCACTGAAAATTTCATAGAAATGTTAAAAAATAAGTATATACATAGAATTTCTTAACCACATACCACTTGTTAAAATGAAGGACATCATTTACAATGAATGACACTAATTATTTTCTTAAGCAATTCACAATATTATGTGTTTACAAAATTCTTTCCACATTTTCGTTATAAAAACAGGGAAAAAATTTTAATAATCATAATTGGGAAATTCAATAATAAATTGGGAATTTAAGAATTTTTCTCTACAACAAGTAAATTGATTCCGCTCTTAAGTGTGTTTTATAAATGAAAGTGTGGGGGAATAACGAACAATCGGAGTTTTTGAATAAATGAAAAATATATTTAAAGTTTTGTCTCTATAAAATTTTTCTTTCTTCAGAAATCATGAATATTCTTGAATATTTGAAAAATATTTTAGATATTCACTGCAATTTTTTTTTTGACAGTTCCAAAGCTAATAATTGAGAATTTTTTAATATTA